CCCTCTGAAAAGCATCTATACAATAAAAATAATTTTCAAAAATCAGAAAAAAAAAAGTTACCAAGTATAGCCTACATCTGTGTACTCTTTTGGTGCAGAACATTCTTATGGCTAAATTTGTCTCTTCTCCCTGTTCATTAACATGACATTTTGTTCAGTCAGTCAGTATAGTCTCATGTATATTAATTTTTATCCTTTGTGTTGTGATCCAATTCTTCTTTATTTTATGGCTCACATGGTTTTAGTTTTGGCTGTCAGTTTTAGTTTTACCAGAAATGTATACAGCTAAACCTCATAGCATGTCACTAAAACTTTACACAAATTAACCTTGATTCTTTTGACCTGTTAGAGAAAAATTCAAGACAGAAAACACAATAAAAATAATAGGAATTTTATTAAAGAGAATATGAGATGCTTTGCAGAAAGCATCAGGCTGGAACAAGGCTCCAGAGCACCAAACCCTTTGTCTGTTGGGGATTTTAAGGGTCAGGAATAAGTGTGGACTGCCCTTTCTTTGGAGTGAATTCTGATGGACAACTTGACAGTTGTAGCAAATGCTCATCTGTGCATGCCTCAATTTGTTGGAACCTTGCTCTCAGACTCTAGCGATTGATTAGTCTCCAATTGAGTTCCTGGGCACTGGAGGTCTCTGTAGGGGCATTGCTCACTTTCTGTGCATGTGCACTTACTGGATGCACCTCCCTGATGACCAGGACATGGTATCACCCAGTTTGACATAAGGAACTGGATCAGCACTGTGATCAGCACGTTGATGAAACTCCAGGGTAGATCATCTTGGGGTCATACATCAATAGGCAAGGAGCATCCATGGGTCTGTCAAGAGGCTCTGGCATGGTTGCCTTAGCAACTTGGGACCATAAAAAGTCTGCCTGCCTGAAGGAGCTCCGTCACTTGACTGTTGTGACATACTCCTGTCGCTATGAGAAATACTCCCAAGTGGCACTGCCGAGTGCTCCAAACTCTTCTTTATTTCCCTCCTTTCATCTGGATGTACCAACACCCTTTTGTAACATGTAAATTGCTGATTCTAATTAGTCTTTCCCCTTCAAAGGGCCTCTCCTGTTTAGTGCAAGGCTTCTAATTTGACTTTATTATTTTCATGTCATAAACATGGACCTTTGTAAGTAATGAGGGATTTTGATCCAATTTGAACCATATACATTCTAGTCCACACATGATCAGGGATTCTTTTTTTTTATTGCCTATAATTAAAGCCACTTTGAGAAAGCAGTTCAAGGACTTCTGACTTAACGTTCGAGGAATTAAGATTAATCTGTTTTCTCCTTGTTCTTTAAAATGGAGTGCATCATGCATTTTTATATATAATGAAAAAGGTTCTATTGCTATGAAAACTGACAGCCTTCCAGTTTTGCCTGCATTTGTCTTTGAGATTGCCTAAGGACAATTGATTTTAAAAATTGTATTCTTCATAAAATTATAATGAGGAAGTAGTTCATTGTCTTTTTCTTAAATCTTTTCCTGTATTCCAGGAATAGCATCAATGTGACAACTTGAGAAACCTTTGAAATAAGACAAATTTATTTCCTTGCTTCTATAGTTAATGACTCTTCTAACTACCTCAATATTTAATGCCAGAGGTATGGTCCCCTAGCCGTCAGCGTCTTAGAGTGAGGTGGGGCTATATTCTGTTCAAGTTTCTGTACTGAGATACTCCTATACCTATACTGTTTAGCAACTATATTGGTTCTGGATTCCACTTTATCTATAATCTGTTGGATTAATAACTGTGAGGGCTTTCAGTATAAAATAAACAATACACTGATTTCATCTAGTGACAATTCCAGAGGGAACTAGATTAGAAAAGGAAAGACTATCAGATCTTATTCCCTAAATAACTTTATGTATTAGCAGTAGCCCTAACATATGTATTACGGGTAGACATAGCTAAATTCTAAATGATTAGTAATATCACTAATGAATCATAACCAATGCATTTTTTCATACTGCATACTGCCTTTGAAAACTGAAATGCTTTCTTAATTATTAACTTAAACTATTGGTTTAGCAAAATCATTATGTGGCTAATACTGTTTACCTTTACTATCAGTTTGTTCTCTGAGTCACAAAAATTCTTAGTTAACCTAATAAAAAAAATTACTAACAGGAAAAAGTTCCATTCAGTCATTTAAATTTCTGTACAATATTGTTGAGTACTTTCTTTGATAGCACAGTCTTTGTCAAAGAGAAAACAAAAACCAAAAAAACCATGCGATTATCCCAGTCACTGGCTTTTTACCATCAACATCTTACTGAGAACCTGTCATGAGCCAGGTTCTGAATCCCTTAAACTCATGCCCCAGCCAGGCTGAACAAGCAAATCAGTTAATGTTTTCATTCCTAGAAAAAGAAAGGTCTCCTTCATTTTACAACATTCCCTAGAAATAACATGTAAAAATTTTATATGTATCTTTTCTATTTCTATAGAAATTTCACAAAAGAATCCCTTTTGAACAACAAATACATGTTAATATGTTTTAGAAATTGTGGAATGTCAGCTACTATAATTTATTTATTTTAAAGCAGTTGTTTTCTGAGTTTTGATATTCCACTCTAAGTGTTCTCTTTATTTGTTTTTACTTCCTATAGATATAAATATGGCTGGGTGCTGGTTGCTCACAACTGCTTTCCTAGCTACTCAGGAGGTTGATATCTGAGAATCACAATTTGAACCAGTCCAGACAGGAAAATCTATAAAACACCTTTCTCCAGTTAACCACCACAAAGCTGGTAATAGAGCCATGGCTCAAGTGGTAGAATACACTAGCCTTGAGCATAACAGCTCCGGGACAGTGTCCAGCCCCTGAATTCAAGCCCCAGGTAGGCACACCCACACCTTTCCCCACCTCCCACATACTTTGTTTATCTTATTAATGTATCTTCACATACCTTAGTTTGAGTTCCTTTATAATAAGTAATGTGTGCCTGTCATGAGAATTTCATTTCTCTGTTTACAACTACAATGAGCAGAGTCTGGGCTTTTTCTGTGATTAATTAAGAGCCTCATAGACTTTCTTACCAGGGCTTCAAAATGCAATCCTCAGATCTCAGCCTCCTGATTAGCTAGAATTACAGGTGTGAGCCATTGGTGCCTGGCTTGATGGCCGGGGAGGGGGGGGGTGCCGGGGGGGGGGGGGGGGGAGTCTGGTCATGGGGCTAGTGTTCTACCACTTGAGCCACAGTGCCACTTCTGGCTTTTTTTTTTTTTTTCTGCTTATGTGGTGCTGAGGAATGGAACCCAGGGCCTCATGAATACAAGGCAAGCGCTCTACCACTGAGCCACCTTCCCAGCCCTTGAAAACTTTTTGTAACAGAATTAAGTAGCTGTTTTCCCCTTCTTTTCTTTTTTCATCCCTATTTAAAATGTAAGAATGTTTCTGTATTTTTACTTCTTAAGAATAGGTGTCTGTATCTGCTTCTTAATCTGCTGTTTACTAACTCTTCAGTCTCTAGTACCTTGAGTATAGTTTGTGTATTTTCATATTTTTCTTTCAGATTTCCACCTCTATTTTATGGTTCTTTTCACTGTTCAGTCTTCTTGCTTCTCTGTAGCACTCTGCTATTGACAGCACATTCTTAGAAATTCTCATAGTTATTTGACCTTTCTGGCTTTCCTTTGTCCATTTGGTGGCTCACTGACTTCACCTTCCTTCTTTGTTCTTTCCTCCTTCTGTCCTTTCCTTGAAGCAAATCTGTAGTTAGTCTCCTCTTTTACCTTCAGCAACTATTTCTACATGGGAGCTTCCAGATGTCCTTAAAGTACTTTGCTGGTCATTCCTGCACCACTGTTGCATACTTTCTGGGCATGTTGACTTCACTTCCATGGTATTTCTCAAAGACTTTGTTTAAGATTTGCTATGTTAGTGTTAAAGGGCCTTGCTTTCTAGACTTGTCCTTTAACTTACCCTAATGGCTAAATGACAGCAGTCCCCTGTGAGCTATTTTCATTGTCTGTTATGTCCTTAACTTTATTCTTTCAGGCTTCATTTTCTTTGTAAGAAGTTCAGAAGTCTACATCTCACAAAGGTTTTGGACATGACATCAGTCTTTATTGATATCCTACCCTTTGAACTCCTGCCTCCCATTGATCTGTTTATCTGGCACCCATCATATTCTTGTTTTCCTGAATTTTATTATCTCAAATGTAGCCTGTAATCTTATTGCTGTCTGTACTTATATTACCTAAGACACTATTGACACTGAATAATGTTAGCTCTGGATGATGGCATATTCTTTACGTTTCTTTATCTCCTTCTATGTCTAATAGTGAGATTGCTTTACAAACAATTAATTGGCCTTATCACCAAACAAACATTTATTTTTCATGAAAGAAATGAAGAATTCTTAAACTGAACTTAATGACAGATTTTTATCAGCTGGATTATATCTTGCTTTATACTATTTAAAGCTCATTACAAAAGAAGTGGAACAATTGCTTGGGAAGTAATTTTCCCTCATATTTTTTTAGTTTTCAGAGAATTGCTTAAGAATGTGGAATAAAAAAAATCACAAAAAGAAAGACCTAAGAGGCTTTTAAGGGTTTTGCACTGAGTTGTAGTTCAAGAATGGATAGAGATAGATAGAAAGAATGAGAAAGATAACAAGAGAGAGTAAATGTGAAAATGCATACCTTTAAGTCAACACCACTTGGTAAGTGATGTTAAGTTGGAATAATGCAATCCAGATGTAAAAGTAGTTATGAATATAAGTGGCTAAAATTTATGTCAAGCACCCTTCACCTGCTATGAAAGTTTCACCTAAATTTTTGTGATGAATTGTTTTCATAATAAATTTCTCAGAAGCACAGAAATAAACACACACAGCAAAGTAGGTCTTGTTAATATATAAGATTTTTTAAATGAAGGTATAGAAGGTAATGGCTTTAAATTTAGCTCTGTGTGTATTGAGAATCTGGACGACAAGGTTATGAACCCAAACACTAATTTAATTTTTTTCCATAGGAAATTTGAAGTATTGCCTTGTGATTCTTAATCAGCCTCTGGACAAATGTTTTCGTCACCTTTGGAAAAAAGGTAAACAGGTAGCCATTATGTTTCTTTACTATTTTACAGTTTGGGAGTGAATAACATAAATATTAAGTACCCTGGAAACTGACTGAAACAGCAAAAAAAATGGGATCAAAATGAGATGATCCAGTTATTGAATTATCAGAATAATTCACTATGGCTTCTCTGTTAATCTGGGTCTATATGTGATTTCCAAGGATTAAATACAGTATTTCAGAACTACTGCATAGGTATTAATTCTGAATTACCTACAAGAATTTGTTCTGCTATAAATATTTTGGCACCAGTGTCAGTATAAAGCATCTACATGCACGCTTGTCTTACCTTCCAATACTAGACTACATGTAAAGCAATCAGACATGAAATTAGAAAAACAAGGTATTTCCTTATTATGTTCTTGTAATGTTTGTGCTGAAAATATGGTTAAAAATAATATAATTTCATGGAATTAATACTTCTGGGATGTTTCATGTAAGAATGCAATGTTCCATGTAAGAAGCAGACCTTGTTAAATATTTAAATATTTTTGACTTTTATAGGATTAACTCTAGGCTAAAAATATTACTGTCATTTGGTGTTTTGAAACCCAGTATTTCTGAGTGGACTAACTGTGGTTCACACCTGTACTCCTAGCTAGTCAGTTGCTGAGGTCTAGAGAACATCCCACTTTAAGGTTATACCAAGCAGAAAAATCCATGAGACTGCCTCCAAAGTAATGAGTAGAGAGAGGAAAATGGGTAAATGCAGTTATACTACTCAAGTTACATATGTGAAAATGGACTAGGAAATTTGAGAAATAGTGGGGATTAGATCAATTCTGTTTAAATCTAGGGATTATAAAACGCAATATAGATAAGATGATAGAGATAAAAGGAAGTGTAGCTAGTGTTGAACATCACTGTAAATGTCAGAGATCATTGGAATTTGAGGATGGATATGGCTCTCAAAATTGTTCTGTGTGAACACCTTCCCATTCAGTAAACAGTTTTCTTGATAGTTTGTTATAAAGGAAAATCATAGAGGATCCATGCTTGAAGGGCTCTGCTTGTTTCTGCCTATAAGGTTATCGTACTACTTTAGACTTAGTACAAGTAGTCTGAGAGCTACATAAAATTAAAGATAGATCGGTGCAACAAGGTTCATGTAGATCTGCCATGTATCATGTTTCTGGGAGTGTGGTCTCTTAAATAAACACAGGGTGAGCTCACAGCCTTCTCCTGTCTTTTCCATATATTCCCCAGGACAGTGCTCAGAATGCTAACTAGAATGTAAACAGATGACCAGATTCTATGAAATAAGGTGTTTATCTAGAGTGAGTCAGTTTTCCCTTGAATACAAAGTTATTTTCCTTAGGCTGGTTAAATTCTTGATGAGCATTTTTTTGCCCTTGGTAGCCATCCCTGAGATCATACCAGCTTATAGGCAGCATACCCTGATTCATTTCTAGGAAGATGTCTGACATGGTCCTCTGACCAGGTACTGGTGGCTCAAGTTTATAATCCTAGCTACTTAAGAGACTGATCTGAGGAACATAGTTCAAATCCAGCCTATACAAAAACATTTTTTGAGATTCTTACCTTCAGTTAACCACCAAAAGGCCAGAGTGGATCTGTAGCTCAAGTAGTGAAGCATGAGGACAAAGTCTGGGCCCTCCCCCACTACCTCCACCACCAGTAGAGGAAGGAAGTTTGCTAAGTCCAGTGTGCATTCTTCACATGGTTTGAATTTGCTGGTGATGTTTGGAACAGACTGAATGGGGTGACATGGGGTGCCATAGCGTGAGATACTTGTTAAAGCTAGCAGGAGAGTTGCTGAGAGGAAAGATTCTATTTTTGAACATAGTCAATAGAACTGCACAATGGGAACTCTTTGGTAGAGATAGAGGTCAAACTGACACCTCGCTGTCTAAGTGTTTTTCATGAATGTGGCTTTTAAGGATTCATTGCCTCTGACTGCATGGATAGGTAGAATATCACATACATTTTCCATTTAAATATATCTAGACAAAGAGCTGCCACATCACCTCAGCTGGAAAAATGTCAGACTGCAGGATAGACAAGCTGATCTTCAAGGCATCTGTTGGAATAATGATTAGCCTAGTTATTAGCTTAACAATTCTGTAACATGGTAGTTAGACTTATCACAGTTTTATTGAGCCACTGAGTTAACACACTTGTGCCCTTTTCTGTCTTTTGTGCTTTGCACAACTTATACTTTGAACACATTTAAAAGAACCATAGCTTTGATGAGCAATTTGCATACTTGGTTCAAGTCCACTGAACAAAATCATTATGTACAAGCTGTAGTTTCTGTAAATAAGGCTGGTGGAAAAGATTTGTTTCAGTCACACAGAAATATGTGTGTGGGGGGGGAGTTGTAGTCTACAAACAGATTATTTAAATGACTATGATCTTTCATATATTGATAGCATAGGATGAAATACTTATTGTCCATAAAAGATTGGAGACATATTGTAGCATTCCCTTCTCCAAGATGAGGGCCTGTTTCTTTAGAATATTTAACCATTCTGGATATCATGATGTAAATATTAAAAGATTTAAGAAGTCTGATGTTACCTTTTTCCCATGGATGTACTTAAATGAGATGGCATCCCTTTGTCTTTTTGGTCACATTTACTAATATCTCTTCCTTTAAATTTTCTTGTTTCTTGTCAATAACTATTATCATAATAGCATTTATTTTCAATAATTACTCCATTGTAATTATCTCTTACATATGAAGTTATTCATTCAGGATTATTTAAGTGTCCTTTATGAAAGCTGTGCAACAGACTTGTATTACTCACATTCTAGAGAAGAGTAGATCTGACACACTGAGAATTTTAATAACTTATTCACATTCATGCCTGCAGTAAATGGGTCAACTAGAGATTTAAACTCAATGCAGTTGGGCCAAAACTGTGTGCTTGAGTAGAATGTGCCATATAATTGCTTACTAAAGGGGTGGGTAGAGGGCTTGAACTCAGGGCCTGTATGCTTTGTTCAAGGCTAGTACTCTACCACTTGAACCACAGTTCCCCTTCCTTCCTTCCTTCCTTCCTTCCTTCCTTCCTTCCTTCCTTCCTTCCTTCCTTCCTTCCTTCCTTCCTTCCTTCCTTCCTTCCTTCCGTCTTCCTTCCTTCCTTCCTTGTTTCCTTTTTTCTGAGATAAATAGAGTCTCATAAGCTTTCCTTCCCAGGCTGGTTTTTAAAATTTATTTTTTATTTTTTTATTATGAAAATACTATACAGAGGACTTACAATTACATGGACAAGATAATGAGTACATTTCTTATCAAGCATTATTGCCTCCTCCTTTGTTTCCCCTTCCTATCCCTTCCCATATCCCGCCGCCCTCCCCATATCCCTTCCTCCCCCCCCAAAGTTGTAAAGTTCATTTTTCTACATAACAACTTGTACATCTCATTGTTGCAATGGGTCCACCTGTATCCCTATTTAAACGATTTGGTTTTTCCCTTCCCCTCCACAAATTATACCAACATCAAATACAGTGAAAGCATGGGTTATATCGTGGGGGAGGGACATACAAAGCAACAAAGAAATCATCTTATAAGTATGTTAGAAACAATAGCAAAAAAGTAAAAAAAAACATTTGAGTCCTTATCTTGGGGTTCATTTCACCTAACATCAACATATCTGACCTTTTCTGTTTGTCTCAGACACCCAGGCTGGTTTTGAACTGGGATCCTCAGATCTCTGCCTCCAGAGTAGTCAGGGATACAGGTGTGAGCCACTAGCACCCCCGCTTTGTGTGTTGACTTTTTTTGTGAAAGAAGAAAATGTAGGTATTTGTCCCTCTGTGGGCCATGTGGCTCTGTGGTAACTTTTCAGCTCTACTGTTATACAAAAGCAGCCATAGAAAGCACACTAAATAACTGACAGGGTTGTGTTCCAAAAATAATAATATAAGAGCAGCATTGAACCTGGACTATAGAACATAGCTCGTTGACCTTTTGTAATCTATTTTTACTACTCAAAGTACTTCTACTTTAGCTGAGAATCTCTTGTTCTACCCACAATATTACAATTTTATAACTCTCTGTCTGGCTATTACGTTTCTTTTTGTCTTCCTCCTGTTATTTGATACCTATGCCATCTACTGATTTCTTTGATCAGTTCATTCACATATTTATCCTGTGTTGATTTTCATAGTACATTGGTTACTAACTACTTTTTTAAAAATATAGTTTTATTGTTACTATTAAGATGTTATACACAAGGGTTACCATTTCATAAGTTAGGTAATAAGTACAATTCTTTTAGGATAATATCACCCTTTCCTCCACTTTTCCTCATGTCCCCCCTCCCATCCCTGCTGATAAGTTTCACATTTATTTTCCCACAATGTATACTGAATACATCTTTTTGTATTTGTTCTCTCTCCTTCCTCCATTTCTGCCCCCCACAAAAGAAAGACAAGCAAACACCACCGCCAATAACAACAAAAAAGCATGTTTGCATTTTCTGGAATTTATTTCCTTAAATAGTATTTTAAATGTTCAGAGGAGTTAGGCCTTTGAGTTCCTTCCCTAAGACTATCCTCCTTTAGTGTGATGGTGTGAATGCCTAGAGTCTTGTATAAATTATAATGTCTAGTTGTATTTTAGGTCTAGCTTCCACATATGTGAGAAAAAATATATGCCATTTGTTTCTTCATTGCTACTACTGTTAGTTTAAGTAATGGCGTTTATTTTATGATAATTCCCTTCTGCATCTTCCCTATCTTTTCTAGCAGCTGAATTACATATTTACTCTGCTTCTCTTCTCTCACTCACATAAAGAGTTACCAAGTCTGCTAGTGGTCCTGGGGTTAGGAAAATTGACGGTGTGTTATTCATCAGCAGTCAGATCTTCACCAATGTATAATAACCAGTGTCTTCACTGTACATTTTGCTTGGCAGCTGTGATTGGAGTCAAGGTTCATTGTCTGTTTGAGAGAAGGAAATATTTATTACTTTGCAGACTGTGTCTGTGTGTGTGTGTGTGT